CAAAATTATATTTCATCATCACAGTCCAATTTTCTATAAGACATTAAATATAAAAAAAAATAATATATATATATATATATATATAAAACACAGCATTTGCTTTTGAATATTTCGATTTTTTTTCTCAGTGTGCGTTTATAAGCACGTGTAATAAAACGTGCTTATGATCCGATGGATACAAAACGAAATAAGATACTAGCCAAAGTCTGCGCGATTGAATGCTCTTTTAAAATTGTGGAAGTAATGAAAGAGATATCCATAGCAACTGTTACGTTAATTATCCATAATCAATATTCCAAAGGAATCATTTGTCAGATTCCAGATTATATTTTTAAATCTTCTTTTCGTATCGAAGACTCATCGCATTGGATTCTTTCCTCCATAAAAATGTTCATTCTCATATAAACCATATAAAGCGAACCGTTTTATAATTTTAGTAGTTCCTCATAAAAAGATCTAATGTATTATGCCATGCTATTACTTGAACCTCTTAACGAGCAATCTCCGTCGTTATCCTACTATCTTACTACATTTGTGCGAATAAATAAATTCCTTTTCACCGAGCGATACATATTTACGTCTCATATAGTACCCTTTGAAGGTTCCAGTAGTGAGATATGTAACTCAACCACCGACTACGACTGCCACTACGTCGTGTCTAAGTTCACGAAAAGGTGTAACCAATAATGAAACAAAAGCAACACCGACTCAGAGTCCCACAACGTGTCACAATCCTCTCTTATCGGAGAAAAGTCCCACCGGGAGTCGACTATCGAGGAAGCACGTTCAGTTTCCAGACACATCAGATCCGAGTCAGATAGAGAGACCAGGTCAGCATTCACATACATTCTTCATTTTCGCTTCAGAAAAAACTAAAACTACAGTAATAAATCTGGAAGCGCCAGAAAAGAAAATAGATATCGTTGAGAAGACTTTTGTTATCATGGATATAATCGTGTTCACATACTTCGTGGTACATGCCATTTTCATAAATCAACCTGCGTATAAATTTTCAGTTCTCCTCGCATGTCACTGAAAATCGGAGCATGACGCGATTTCATGTCTCGATTCAAATTTAGAAAAAAAATTATTGAAAGCGCGTATATGACGTATATGAAAATCTCGTGCTTTCGAAATGAAGCTGTCAGTTGTTCAAAATCTTTCTCTCTCTCTCTCTCTCTCTCTCTCTCTCTCTCTCTCTCTCTCTCTCTCTCTCTCTCTCTCTCTCTCTCTCTCTCTCTCTCTCTCTCTCTCTCTGTCTCTCTCTCAGAAAAATCAAGATTAACTATTTTATTTTTTCTGAAAATTTTAAATAATTTAAATTAATTTGAATAATATTATAAGATTATATCGTGTAAAATTATTCTTTTATATTAGATAATTATTAAAAAAATTGAATGAATAGATTTAAATAAGATTTAAATTCTATTCTAAATAGGTCTAAATAGGTTTAGATCGTTCAGATTATTTTATAAAATTTATATTTTTGTTCATTAAATTTTGTTATTTAAGTTATCTAACTGAGCGCTTTGAGCTATAGCCATTTTGCATAAATGTTTCAGAAATACCAATAACAAAAATGCCAACAAAATTCTCGTCGAAAGTTGAGCGCAACACGAGAACTTGGCTGCAACCTAGCGATGCCATAACAATTGTCGTTAACCAGTCTTCGCCATCAAGTGACGACGAGCAAAATCATTGCTCATAGAAAGTATGAATCTGAAACACAATCACATACAATTGTTAATAATCTGAATACATGTATGTGATTGCTGTATAATCTTCAAAGACTTATTTTATTGTTGTAAATATATCGATGAATTTTTTTATAAAGGAAAATCTCACAGACTTATAACTTATTCATTTCCCTTCTACTTTATAACGTTCGCTAATTAAAAAATATAATATTTAAAAAATTTTTCATTGTTCTTGTTTATAAATTAAGAAAGAAGTAAAATAAGGAAAACATTTTCTAATAAATGCGAAAACGTTAAATAAAATATTTAACGCAAAAGAAGTGTAAAAGAAAAAAATTATTAAAATGAGATTTCTATTAAAAAGACGGATGAAACAAACGCAATTAAACACATAATAACAATATTCATTAATTTAATTTCATAATGTTAAAGATAAAAAATAATTCAATATTTACAATATTTTAAAAGTTTACAAAAAATATGCTAAAATAATTATGTAAATATACTAAAAAAAGTTGAAAAACTCGAAGCAAAATTAATTTTTTTTAAGAAAATCATAGATATCAGTTTTTAAATATTAACTAATGTTAATATAAGTATATAAATATAATAAGTATATAAAATATAGTATATAAATATAACAAATATATAAATATATAAATATAACTTAAGTTTTTACAGAGACTTTTAAAGAACAAAAACTTTTTTCAGATTTTTTAAAATCTTTATATTGTTAATTATGTTTAAATTTTGTAATTAATGTTTCATTTTTAACAATAATAAAATACACGTAGATCATTTCAAGTAGAGTAATTACAGTGACAAGTGTAAACTCAATTTCGAAAAATGCTTCTTTTAATTAAACGCAAATAATTTATGAACATTCTATGTCGAAAGAAAACACATGTAAATACTCTGTTCTCAATTCTTCATTATTTTGACAAACTGTGTAATTTCTGTTGTATCTGTTCCAGTGTCTTGCCTTTAGTTTCAAATATGTAGAAAAACGTAAATAAAGCACTAATGATGCTGCATGCAGTGAATAACCAGAACGATGTATGAGTGCCAGTCATTTCACTTAGACTTGGATATAATTTCGTCACTATAAAGGCAGTTACATTAGTTATCAATATAGTTGTGGTAGTGCCAATAGCCTTCACGTTCATAGGAAACAATTCACTGGCCAATGTAAACGGTATTCCCGCTAAACCTATGGCATACATAACTATATATGTCACTGCACCGATAGCAGGCAACCACGTTATATTGTTGGTATCTACGCGATAGTATTGCAAATGAAAATACGTTGCGATCATGGCGGTGGAGCATGCCGAACCGATGGAAGAGATTATCAACAGTGGCTTCCTGCCGTAGCGATCGGTGATGGTCATGCTGATAATCGCGAAGATTAGTTGCACGACACCCAATATTATGGTCAAATACTTGCCCTCCAGATTACTGTTTATTTGGTTGAAAATTGTTTCAGCGTATTGCATCACGGCTTGAGAGCCGCTCGATTGTTGAAATATACCCAGACACATCAACGTTATTAAAGCTCTGTAAAATTCGGTCAAATTTATTAATTGTCCTTTAATGACTAAAATAAGTTAATAATTTTAGCTTCACCAAACTGCTATATA